CCAAAGAGGATTGTCTCTCAGCCCGCAGTGTAAGCAACAAAACAAGAAACAATGCGACGCTATTTATGTTGTGCGTGTGTGTGAGTGCGTGTCTTTGTGCGTGTGTTTCACCGATAGCTAGGTTGCGTGTGCGCGCGCTGAGGCTTTCAGAGGTTCTGTCGGCGCCGCAAAGTTTTGCAAAAGTAATTGTAATCGTGCCTGACATTTTGCAATTACTGACACTAGAAAGTAATTAAATTACAATTCATTTTGGCCAAACGTAATTAATTACAATTACAAATTACCAAGAAAAGTAATTAAATTACAAAAATTTAAATACTGTAATTGAATTACTACCCAAGACAAAGCGCATGACTTGACGTAAGCAATCTGTCGAAATATCTATGCGGAACGCAAGTTCGTCTGCTTCTTTTGCGGGGGTTGTGGTGACGTCAGAGCGCTGAGCTCTGATTGGCTCTGATTGAAATGATAGTGGGCAGATCTCAAGGCAGCTTGCTTCGAGGTCTACCCACTATCCTTTCAATCAGAGCCAATCAGAGCCCGACGTTCTGACGTCACCACAACCCCCGCAAAAGAAGCAGACGAACTTGCGTTCCGCATACGGGTAGAGAAGCTGAGGGAGAGGATAAGAATAGAGCGCCTGGGGACGTGAGAGCGCCGATCTCTGGTTGGGATGACTAGTGGGTAAACGCAAACGCTAGCTGCCTTTGTCTTTACTTACTCTTCGAACGCGTTCAAACGGCGAACGGCGTTCGGTGCTGGTGTCCCTGCGCGCTTTCATGTCCCTGTTTTCCTCGAGCTGACAGGGTGCTGGAAGCGTACGTGCTCGCGGACAAATCATCTGCCCACCTTTCTTCGCAAACCCCGCTCGGCACGTGAGGCCGTGCAGAGGGCGCGATCACATGGTGCAGGATCGACAGTCCACCCTGTCGGCTTAGCTGTGAACGGAGCGTAATTTATTGACACGAATGACAGGCAGAGATACGCTTAAGGCAGTAGAAAGCTAAGCGTTCATTAGGGCGAACTCATTCCCAAAACAAAACCAGAGGAACAGGCGTCGCGGGCGTCGAAATCGGCGGTACAGTTGGATAAGCGCTGGTGAAAGACTGCCCCTCTGCAACCACGTGAAGGCTCTTTACATCGCGTACCACCCAGAAAGTCCTAAAATAACACTATGTACAAGCGGAAAATAAAGGGAACTTGCGAGTTATTTCTGTATCCTTCCAGAAACTAACGAAAAGATAGAAGAAGGGTTTGCGGCTGGGATTCTTACCTGGCACTTCTGTGTGAGATCCGGGCACGACCACTGCGCTACTCTCCTTTTTTTTGTATTACGTTTTGTTTGCCACTTGTTTTCGAGAATGCGGAAATATTGGAGTAATTTAGTAGTTGTTCAGTCACTCCTGCTGCGCTATCCGCGATCCGCTACGACCTCCGCTATTTGTAGCGTAGCGGAACTACCATTTTAAGTTTTAGTAGGACGTTCGCAACCCGCTACGGATTACAGCGTTACGAGAGCTAATGCAACGCCACTCAGCTGTTTCAGACACTAAGGCTCGCGTAAAACAGATTTGTAAAGCAATTCTTTTCATTTTTTTATTAACGTCGTTAAGATAATAGTATACTTTAATCTTTATTGAATAACGTGCTAATCGTTGCTTCTTTTGTATGCAAATTACTATTATGTTTGTAATTGAATACAACTCATGGCCAAGCTGTCCAAGACAATCCAATTTGAGTCGAGGGCCAAAGTAATCGAGAAAACTCTTCGACAATAAATTACAACAACTGTAGCTCTTCCGTTGTGTCGTTGTTCACCGAAATGTGAACGCCACGGAAAACCTTCCAATCTGCCTGCTCGCTCGCTGCCTTGGTCGGTTTTGTCCTCACGACAAAGCGGCCGAGCAAGTGGCTGCACCCTTTGCTCACAAAACCATGGATAGCGAAGATTTTATGTTGCCTTTTTTCTCTCGTGGCCGTATTTACCATGTTCGCCATAAATGGCTACTTGTTGCAGTCCTGGAACGGCTTTGTCGCGACTTTTTTCTCGCAGCAACCCCTCAGAACCGCGATCCCGAAGCGGACAGACCGGACAGGCGCGGCGTGACGGCCATCTTGAATTGCGTTCTTCGCTGGCTGTCCCTTATCTCGCCAAAACTCGTTCTCGCGAGACCCACGCTAGCACGCCGCGCTAGGCTCCTGGCTATTTTGATCAGATAGCTAGCAGCGCGCATGCGCATTAGCGTCGTCGCTCTAGCATATAGCGTAGCGGGAGCAGTGCTGAAAGTATCCCGTAAGCTGAGGGGGGGGGGGGGGGGGGGGGTAACGAGATGTACTAGATGTGCATAAAATAAACCCAACTGTTGACTTTGCCCACGGTGTATCTGCGACCCTCATATTGCTATTCCACAAATGTCACATCCCTGAAAACAAGCTATTTTATTGCAAGATATGATTTTGATTTGACTAATGTTGGGGGCTGTGGAGGAGGGTCTCGGAGCAGCCGTTAAAATCAGTGGGAGGTCTGAACCCCCTGAGACCCCTCAGGCTTCAAGTCCTGAATGGGAGAGCGAAAACGATCTACTGAAACTCTCTCTTGCCTAGTGTTGTCTTTATTCGAGGAGAACGCGCAAGCGTTCACAGGTAGATGTATTGAAAATTTTCAGTCGCAGACTGGTTATCAGTCAAGAAAACACTTGCCCAACTATTGAAGTGCGACGGTATGCACAGATATACAGTCTGTTAAAAGTATTATCACGCCGACTTCTGCATGGGGGGCTTATAAGGCGGTCAGAGTTGCATAGTGCATGGTCAACCCGTCGCAGATCTTAGCTGCCTATACTATTCCTTAGAGCGTGTGTTTTGTTTTTCGTGCCGATGCTGTCTGCTGTCGACAGGTGGAATCAGGACAGAGTTGGATTTATGCTCTTCCGACCCGTATCACAGAGCATCCGAGGGCTGCGTTCGGCGAGAAGGCAAGCACTTTTCACGATGAAGGTCTAGGAGCAACTCGCCAGAGAATGGGGTGCAAAATCTCGCGCTCAAGAACCCACCAGGGTTCATATGCTGAATTTTATCCCACCTCTGCCCGTTTTGATTTGGAGGATCAAAGCATTGTGCGCTTGTGCTATCACGCCTAAACCATGGTTAGGAGCCATGCTGCACCGAGTGAATTTTACTTGTGCAGCGTGAAGCCGCCAGTGACACTTGTTAACGAAAGAGCAGATTACGACTTTTGAGGACTGCACCTACGGACTTTCTTGCGAAACGACTGCTTATAGGGTCGTGGCGCCGGTTGATTTATACTCATCCGAGCTCGACAACTCGGGTACGCCGTGTTCCTGACATCAACAACACGCATTGTGACGTGTTAACGGCGAGCGGAGGGGCTCATATCGGAGCGCGGACAAGCTGCGTGCCTTGCCAACGAAATGCTCTCGAAAACAATAGTTTTTCCCGCGTTTAACTGAGGATAAATGCAGCTACAAATCTCGTGGGTTTAAGAAGTATGAACAATGGGACTCTTACCATGTAGTTTAGCGAGCGGTGGTAACACAAAAAAGGAAAGGGAGGGGGGAAGGGGGACATAGCAGGTGGTTTAGACCTTGACAGTGGACGAGCCTTACGTTCGCTGTTAAAAAAAAACAACACGTAGTTTGTTCCAGGATATTCCGGCCCTCAGCGGCAACACCATTCCTCCTCGGGATCCAGCTGTTTTCGCAAAACGACCTTATGGAGAAGGGGCTGGCTGTTGAGTAAGGAGCGTCAGAACTAGGGACCGCACTCGTACAGGCGCTCTCGGTTCAGACCCCGAGAACAGTGATCGCCTTTGGTCGGAGCGCTGGTAAGATCCTGAAGATACCCCTTAAGCTTGGAACGACTCGGGTAAGCCATGAGAGTGTTAGCCGGGATGGCCGATTGGCTCAGTACCACCCTTCTGTGGGAAAGAGATGCCAAGAGCGGTTACAAAAGTAGTTGGTACTGTGAACACTGTAATAATACACTAAGCTACTTTTATAATGCAACGTGCAACGTGTCTAAAGGGGGGCCCCCTGGGCCCCCCTTTAGACAAAAAAATCAAGTGTGTGTTATTAGTTCTCTTTTTTTACTGCAAGAGTAGATTACGCATTGCCGAACGCTCAGTTTCCGACGAAACTCGCGGTCCAAACCAGACGATAAATATTTATTCGAAATAAAATTTTCAAAACTTTCGATGATATAATGGAACCTGCTCCCAGTATAGTTCATTCCCGTGTATTCGTTGGCTTCGCCTGACACTATTTTCCCATTGAAAAAATTTTCCTAACTTTCTCATAATTTTTGAATAAGATAACGGTTAATTCTTAAGCATTGGCACCCAGTCCGAAGCGCTTGCGCTATTTGGGCCGTGACTTAGCGTTCGGTAATGCGAGTTAAATTTTTAGGTCGAAAATACCATGTATACGTTTTTTTGGGACACCCTATACTCTAACTATGCAGTCATATTCATTTTTCTTCAAGCATTATGTCATTGGTTCCTTTTTTTTTTTTTGGTAAAGCGAATTACGCGAGATTTGCTTCTTGCTGACATATCGTTTGAGGCAGTCTCCCGCTGAAGGTATGCAGTCAAGTCAGCACCATTTTGGGTGTCCTTTGAAGTAATGATGTGCAAATCAGTCTCAAGAAACCATGTCCTGAATGTTTTACAACCTGTGGTGCAGACTACATTCCGTTCACCCTTAACAGACTATAGAAGCTCTGCTTTCAGCGCGAGCTCCCTAGCAATTCCGCAGATGCTTTGGTTGCGCGTGCCTGCGCGTTCAGACTTGTGTTAGCAAGGGCAGAAAGCTTGCGCTGGAGGCGGAGTTTCTAGTCTCAGCTCAACAGTAAACGGAGCATAGTTTTGGTGGACCAATCAGGTGCAATGAAACGCAGCGAGGGTTTTGCGAAAGAGTATATTGCAACGACGTCTGCTCGCTTTTTCAGTCGAGGAGCAGCGTTGGTGCGGCGTCCGTTCCGACATGTTGACCAACATCGAGGTCCCGTTCCTGGTGCCCAAGTGGGCGCTCTTCCTGCTGGCGCAGCTGCTGGCGCTGATGAAGCTTGCCTATCCTCCGTCGATGAGCGTCTACAACACCGAGAACCTGCTTGACGAGTACGACTACGTGATCGGTAAGCCTAGACAAGTTAGGAACGGTATCTTCACACACTACGGCACGCTCTGCAGTGTATACATGAAGAACTGTAAATGGTAGAACTACAATGCACTATAGTAACTGACAGAGCAAAATCAGCAGGGCGTGTCTTTCGAACACCCGGCCTCCAGCAGGCGCGCCATGCCGTCCGCGCTGTGCTTTGGTTGCGCGAGCGTGCTCATTGTCGAAGAGGTAGCTCTCGCTGGAAGCGGGACGACTAAAGCTCTTGTCTGCTATTCTTACCGTGTCAGAGACTATGGTAGAGCGCTATACCTGAGTAGACCACTCCGAAAGTTTTTGGCGCCAAAAATGACTTGCGCATTACGCACTTCCGTCAACCGGATTGGACCAGAAAAAGATAATAGCCAGATAAAAAAAAACCGAGAGGTTAACCAAGGCGGTTTGCTTCGGTTGAACTCGTGAGTTGGGGAGAGAGATATTGATATGAAAGAGCGGGGAAGGAGAGAGTAGATTGGAGCCAGAAGCATCCCCTTAACGCACTTGAAGTTACGCTGTCGTGTGGCCAAACCTCTCACCAGGTGACGTCAAATCGAAGGTAGCATATAAGCTACATAACGCACGCTTCCGACCCGCGATGCCCTCGGAACTCCACTCATTGGTTTCTCTTTAATCAGTGTGGACAAAGAAAATGACGAACAGTATCGAAATGACTACGCGATCACTCTTGGCAAACTGAGGCATATCCCTTCCTCGATCCTCCTCGCCACCGGGACCGCGTGGTGACTTGAGGAGAACACCGATTGTTCTTCCCTCATGCGGTTGACCGTCTAAATGCCGGTTCAGACACTTGCGTTTGAGTGCGTTTGACTGCGTTGTGTCGAGAACCGAAAGCGAGTCACCGACACATCTGTGCTTCGTATGAAGCGTGGAATCCAATTCAAGCAATCATCTTGGCACGCAATATAAGCAGCAGGAATGTCCTGGTTTCTCGCTGCCGCAACGCAGTCAAACACAGTCAAACGCAACTGTTTGAACCAGGCTTAAAAAACAAAGGGATTGGCCCATCGGAGTGCATCTCCGCGCCAGCGATCCTGTTCCCCGTTACCAACGCGCGCAACTCACGTGTGCTGCCACCAGTCTTCGCGTGACAAAGGTGAACCCAAAAATCAAAGCGTACTAATACGACGTAATTCGAACATCACAGCCTTTAATTTCGCCGGCGAGTGTCACATTTTCTTCTCTCCTACGAGGGAGGCGAGGTGGTAGTCGCGCGTTTTAGCCATGGGGAGCAAGACCTTGGCGACGATAAGCGTTCTAATAGGAAACCAAAACTTAAAGGGCTCATGAAACGATCTCGAGTTGGAATGTTCATGACTTTGCTGAGGCGTACAGTTCCCAAGTATACTCGCACAGATCGCTCAGAAGCTTCTTTGTCGCGGTGAACACGGCGCCACGTGCTCCCGTGTTCCTGTTAACGGCAATTTCGAAGAAAAAACAGAAACAAAAATTTTAGCGTTTTTTTTTTTTTTTTTGGTAGGGCTTTTTTAGTGCAATCCTTTTTAGACCTTGGCGACTCAAAAGAGATTCTCGATAAATCATAAGATGATGTTCCGAGGTTTCTAGAAAAATCGCTTGACAAGCACGAGTTCACTCAACAAAACACCAGGGTGCATGGATGAGCACCAGGTTTTTTTAACAGCTGAAAACTACTCGGCACGAGGAATTTGAGATATGAAGACATCCTGTGTGGTATACAGACACACGAGGGATACATACAACAATACCCTTCCCGAAACCTCTGTCTAATGTTTGAGGTGTAAGGGAAACATGGCCGCCATCAGTCGCAGCCACATACAGCTGCGCTGCGCTGCCGGGATATTCGCTCTGTTGTGCGCTTTCTTTCTGCTCAACCACTGCCGGAGAAAGACAGTCACCGAGGAGAAAGCAGTAGACTTGCGAGGTGAGCTCCGGTCAACCGTCCGAGAGTGCTACGGCAAAGGTCCGCCTCGGCTCGCTTCCTATCCTTCAACCCCTACACGGTTTTAAATATTCTGCTGGTGGGACTCCTTCTGCTCTCCGGAGATATCCGCTGCAACCTCGGGCCCTTCCGCTTGATATACTACAATGTAAGAAGCCTTCTAAACAAGATCCCTGAACTGCAGTCCGACCTGAGCTGCAATCCGGCAGACGCCGTCTGTGTGTGTGAAACGTAGCTCGGTGACTCCGTCCCGGATCGCGAAATAATTTAGTCCTGAATACGCTGTATTTGGAAAATAGCGACGTGGACGCAGAGGGGGGTGTTTTACTTGCCGTAAAGTAGGAATTTTCGCCAACGCACCGCGCAGACCTTGAAACCCCAACTCCCAATTGTTATGAACCCAACTTAACTGCCGCGGCAGGAAACTGCTGCTCGGCTCACTCTACAGGCCCCCAATTTCAGGGCACGGTCTCTTTTCTGAGCTCTGTGAGGTTTTCGACCGAATCAGCTCTCAGAGGGACCACTTCATGAACATCTTACTAACTGGTGACTTCAACCTTCATATCAACAGGAACTCCGCGGACCCGCCGACGCCAACTAATTTGACGAAGGCAAAGTTCTTAGACTGGATGCACTTTTCGAACCTGAAGCAGCTTGTCACTTCACAACACACATTCATGGCGACAACCTTAATCACACCCGAGGTCTTGTGCTTCGCCGGAACCAGGCTCACCTACAATCGGTATCAAACCCACCATCCCTATCAAACTTCGACTACATAAAGATCTAATCTGTGTGGCAGCTTGGTTGTACAGGCAAACGCTTCGTCTCGAAGCAGTTTCTTTTGTTCAACAAGGACGGACGTGAAACACTGGAACGCTCAGTTGACTCAACTCCCTGCAGGTTCCTATGCATGAACTTTCTGACCGACTGCAATCCTTTTTACTTATTCTACGACATGTTCTGGGCAAGGGCTCTACATACTCAGAACTCACCTAAAAAAACAAGAACGTTAAACCGTTGATAACAGGTGCCATCAGGAAATTATCAATGAAAACCAAGCGCCTCTTCAGAAAGGCATTGGAAAGTCAAGACACAACACATTGGTCAGTATACAAGGACCTCCTTCGAACACTGAAAAAGGAGATACCAGTGTCCTACCAAAGATACCTTTGTGACATCGGACATCGCCAGTTAGGCCAGAACGTGCCCCAAGCGGTTCTGGCAGTAAGTTCGACTCCCAGCCGATGAATGGTATACTGCTTCCCAACTCCACTTTGAACGCGGCCTCTCTGACAATCCACAGGACATATTGCAAACTCATTTGGCGAATATCTCAGCAAGGTAGTGCCCACTTTCAACAACCCCTGCCCCACTCCGCACGGAGGCAGCCCCTCGGCAGACCAGTTCACTCACACGCAGGCCACTCCTGTGTTCGATCCTCCCTTTGTGAATGCAGACGAAGTTAAATCTGCCATCTCCAAGAAGAAAAGCAGTGCCTCACCCGGCCCAGATGTCATACCCCCGCCACTACTCAAGGCCTGTGTTTCTTCTCTCTCCCTTCCTCTCTCCAATCTCTATAACTACGCGTTTTGCCAGGCCCTCAACCCTCAGGTGTGGATAATGGCACACCTGATCTCCGTTCACAAAGAATCAGGTAAACCCTTGAACGCTCTTGAAAACTACCGTCCAATTAGCCTCACCTCCATCCTTTGCAAAATTTTTAGAAGTCTCATTTGTCGGGAAATTTCCGAGAATCTTGAAACGTACAATCTCGTCTGAAACACCCAACACGGCTTCAGTAAAGGACTGAGTTGCGAAATTTTGCTTTCCATCCTGCACCATGACCTGAATGGTGTCCTCGACACCTCCAAAGAAGCTGACGTTCTTTCCCTGGATTTCTCAAGTGCATTTAACAGTAGTAACCGCAACCTCCTCATCACCTTTGGCATATCTGGGACGACCCTAAAGAGGATAACAAACTTCCTGACAAATCGCCGCCAGCGAGTCCGCTACCAGCTTGCCTCTGGTCAGTGGCACGATCTGAAGATGGGCGTGCCAAAGGGATCCGTGATTGGGCCGCTTCTGTTCAACCTGTACATTAACGAGCTAGCATCTGGCATTGAATCGAGCATCCTACGATACGCCGATCACCACATACTCTGCCACACCATCCACTTCACTAATGACCGGCGGATGTCGCAGTCCGACATCTTCAAGGTCTCCAGGTGGTCTGATCGTAATGGCCTGTTCCTCAATCCAGACACTCACTATATCTACTAATTTCTCGAACACGAATACTCGGCGACGTGACCTACATGGCCCACGACACACGTCTACAGGAGGTCACCGAGACTAACCTTCTCGGCATTTGTTTTGATCGAAGCCTGTCTTTCAGATCACACGTCGACTGTATCTGCAAAAGAGGAAACAGTCTAAAAGGGTTTATAACCCGGACGTCAAGGACCACGCCGCGCCACGCCTTCTGCAAGCTGCACACAGCTCTTGGACTGCCACTGTTTAAATACTGTGCCACCATCTGGAGTCCCCCCCCCGGCCGACCTCCAAAGCGGCTCGAGTCCGTACAAAGGAAAGCGTTGAAGACGTCTGTACACTCACAAAATAAGGCAAGCAAACTACCCTACGAGGGGCGGTTACAGACCCTGCGGTGGTCTCGAATTGGGAGACGTAGACACTCCTCCAGGCGGGTACTCCTGTAAAAGTTTCTGCACGGTGACTGTCCCATCCCAGCAGGTTACCCGGGGCGGTCGAAGGGGACCCACTCAAGCCTGATCAGCGTCTTTCTCGCACCACTAGTGCCTCCTCCACCCTCTTTGTCCAAGCCCTCGAGCTATGGAACTCCTTGTCGATTGATGCTAGGGGGACCCAAAATGTCGCTGAGTTCAAAAACTTGGTGCGGTACAGTGATGTGTAAATCCTATGACCAGCTGCACTTCGTAGGCAACCCACCTCACCTGTACATATACGATTTCATTATCTTGTGTTCTTCACTTTTTTACATACAGCTGAGAAGGCAG